ACGGGAGACTCGGGTGCTGCTTGGGGACCACAGTCCTGCGTCCCCAGGAAAGGGGAGGAAAGCTCACTTGGCTTGTGCTGCTGGGAGAAAATCGCAGCCCCCGGACTGTGAGACAAACTCCTGACCTGATCTTTCAAGAGAGGAAAATGGCTCAGAGAGGGTGGACGGTTTGCCCCAGATGCCCCGTGGTGGCCTCCCTACCCTTGTCCACAAGCTGCCTCCAGCGCCGGGCCCACTCGGTGAGCTGCTGCGCGTACGCTTTCTCGATGCGCGCCCGCTCGTGTAGGCAGTTCATGAGGTCTGTGCACAGGCGGTGGCCGTCGTCAATCCGCCTGACGGTCCGCTTATAGTTCCCGACCTAGGAGACAGAGCCACACTGAGCGCCGGACCTCCACGCCGGCCAGCTCTTGGGTGCTTGCGCCCCCTCCCGCTTCAAAGGCCCCCTGCATTGCTAGATGACAAGCTACCACCAGCAGGAGCAGACAAAACCGAGATTAGGCCCACCCATGGGCCAGGGAGGGAAGCAAACCAGTGTGAGAAGGTTTGTGGGGGAGGGAAGTGAGGGGCTGAGGTCACCCAAGGGGGATCTCACAGACTGAGGACCAGGGACAGCTTCCCAGAGTAGGCAATGTCTAACTAGAAAGATGGAAAACAACAATAGAAACAGAATTTTTTAGTAGCTCAGATTAAAGTGATTTTATAATTAACATTAGAGACCCCTGGCTAAAGGCCTTTGGAGCATTACTGGAATTAGCAGGTTCTCAGGTGTCTACTGCCTTGATGTCACCATATGCTGGATTATTACTTCGCAATTAGAGCTAACAAACGCTATTTCCCACCTACTGAGTACCCACCATGTCAGGCACCACAGGATGTATTTTACATGCCAAATACTGCCTCTGCCTTAATGAGCAGCAATAACTGTCCCCATGTTAAGATGAGGACACCAAGGCTCAAGGAAGTTTCACTGTTTGTCAGGACCCCACAGTAGCAGCCTTAGAGGCTGGGCTGCTGCTGAGAGTTTTCCACATGCTTCCAGGTTGGGGCTTGATGGCAAAGCTCAGGCTCTATCTGCTTTGACAAGGGCCAAGGTGTGGCTTGACTACTTTTTCTCACATATGAGAGTTAGCTAATCTAAATTATAAATAATATAAGAGTAATTGGGAAAATATTAGTGGCTGATGTGGAGTGAAAAATCAAAGCGTTCCATGTGCTTTATTCCCTGACCTGCTGATTAGAAAGGATACCATGCAGCTGACACTGGAGCCCTTGCAGGAAATACGGCAGAAAAATAATCTGCTGTGTTTGCAACCCTTCCTTCCGGCTGTCTTTAAAAACGTAGTCACATTTTTCCCAGTTTTGCAATTTCTAAAGGTCTCTGCCTGGCTGAGCACTCTCGTATTTCATCTCTGTTTAGGGTCAATCTGGACGTTCTTAGAGAACATGGAAGACTAGTACACACTTCTACCAAAAAGGGTACAGTCCTCTCTCTGCCCTGTACCTCTGACTGATGAACAGTTCAAATGACCTGAGTTCTTCCATCTCGTGCTGAGTTAGCCAGGTGAAGAGGCTACAGTGGAGCAGCAGGAAGATCTTGCAAAGAGACAGAACACATGGAGATGGGCACTGGTAGAGCAGGGGACTATGGTCCCTTCAGGAAAAGCCGTCCTTGAGGCCAGAACTCTGGACAGGCTGAGACGGCCCCACTCCCGTGGGAACCAGAATCCTGGGGAACAGCAGCTCACCAAGACACAGAAGCTGAACCTGAGCCTCCAACTCCATCCTTTAGCGGCCCCTTTTTAGGAAGGAGAAAGCAAGCATTTCACAACCAGTCAGAAGTGACTTCACATGTTCACTTCCCTTAAAATAGGGCCTTGCTGTCATTTTGAAATTTACATCAGGAGGAAAAACATAATCAACAAAACACAAACTTGGTATGGCTGAACTGGTGGCAAAAAGAGCTGAGACAGTGACAGCTCGACACAGACTTGACAGCCAACATGAAATCATGATGCAGACCTGGTTTTCATCTCACTGTTACCAAAAATATTCAAATTGGCAATCAGTATTAAAATATGTTGGCTCCCCAGAAACCTGTCTACCTCTTTGCTTTTCAAAACTCTTGTGGAAAGCTTTAGGGAAAAGGAAAAGATATTTCTTAACAAGGTACACACAGGTACAGCCCTTTGCATTGGCCTATATCGTACATAAATACCGTTCATCTTTAAATGACAACTCTAGAAATCTGAAAAGCAGCAAGGAATGCAAAGGATGTTTCTGAAAGCATATAGGTTTAAATGCTGGCACTGCTGGGGCCAAGGGGACAGGGGAGTGTTCATGACAACAGGCACCCAGACACCCCTGCAACATCTGCCTGCTGCTCTCTGCTCAGGGCAAAGGCTGCATGTGGGCTGGAGACAGGCCATCACTTCAGTCCACACACAGGGACATTCATCAGGTATCAATCCGTCTCCACCTCCACAGACCACAAAGAAGAGAGCAGGGTGTTGACAGAATGAAGATAGTCTGACAGCATGGAGACATGGCCCTGAGAAGTCCACCAGAACCTGAGCATGTACACAGAACGCTGGGGGACGACTAGAGACTTGGTGGGGGGCTGGGTGCAGTGGGTGGCGTGGGAGGTGGGGTCAGTCAGACAGTGAAAAATCTTGAGGGTCGGGCCATCATCCTGAGGGGTGCTGTACTCAGGGAATGGTGGGGTGTAGGAGGGGGAAGCCCTGGAGGGTAGGTCTGAGTAACCTGCTGATTCTGGGGTACAACAGTGGGGACGGGAGCAGGAAAGCAGGAGAAAGGAAGCACGCTGTCCTCCAGGTGGCAGGTGGGGGCGGACAGAGGCAGCAAGACTTAGCTCCCGGGCACCGCAGGTGGTGGTTCCCGCAGGCTGGACTCATCATGCAGAAGGAGCAGAACCCGTCCTTCCCAGAGCTCCCCAGAAACCACTCTCCTGCCTCCCTCCACCCAACCGCCTGGTCCTACCTGGGGCTCCCCGGAAACCTGACTGGCCCGCTGTCCTACTGCACTAAGCGCATCTCAGCTGCTCTACCCTTCCTACCCACAGGCCCCCACTGGGTCTGGGCTGCCTGTGTGTCTGGCTCTCCTCTGCCCCCAGGCCTGAGAACCCAGCGTCAGATGAGCATTGGTTTGTTTGGGTCAGCTAAACGGAGTCTGAGGCTGGAGTTGGCAGAAACATCTGCATAATAGGGGATCAGAGCAGAGACGGTGGACTCTGCCCAAAATCCAGCGGGCTTGTAATTACAGGGGTGCTGGGAAGGGTGGTTCAAACAGGTTGCACCAGTTCCTCATGCATCCTCTGGGTGTAAACAGTCTGGAGCTGCCTCTCATAAGGACACTGGAGAAGGTTTGCTTCTCTGACTTCACGGCCTGTTTACCTTGGCCAACTCCTTTCTGTGGAACACAGTGGCCAAAGGCAACAGGAAGGCTGGAGGATTTGGAAACAGGTCAGTGGGACCCCCCCCCAGAACCCCAAGTGGATGTGCGGGAATGTGAACACGGGTGCACAGCTCCTGCCACCCATCCATCCCCACTGCCGGCTCAGTTACCATCTCCCATGGGAATTGTGGGCCTACAGGTCAGGGAACCTAGACGGTCACATCACAGACATCTTCCACTTTGCTACTTTTACCCTTCTCTTTGGTTGGTGACCATCAAGCCCATTTCCCAGACAAATTACCTGATTACAACCAAAGCTCCAGGGTGAATCCAGTGGCCCGAGTGAGAAGAGGACGGGGTAGAACACCCCAAAGCTCATGCTCTCCCACCCCATGCTGCCTCGGCCCTGAGGCGTGAACCTTCACGCCCATGGCTCAATATCACAAAGAATCCCGGTGGAGTCTGGGTGTCCCCAGGGGCCTGAGGGAGCTTTTGGCTGTCTCACTGTTGACTCGATGCACAACACAGAGGGGCTCCTAGGCCCTGGCCCCGGACCACCCTGCGCTCCCCTAGCTGGCTCCTCTGCCCGTGTGCAGACCAGAGCCCACAACACACAACCCCACACACCTTCTGACTGTGCCCTAACAGCATGGGCTTTTGTCTTCCTCATCAACCATTCTTTCCTGACTGCCTTCCACTCACTGGGTCTCAGCAGGCACTCAATAAAAATGTGAAATGTTAAACCAGAGACAGACTAGAAGAAAACGGAGACAAACACCCTTGTGACTTAGGGCAGCGGAGGATCCCTTAAGCAAACTTTCAGAAGTAAAAGCCATGAGTGTACACACACACACACACACACAAGGATTTCTGTTCTGAAACCAACAACACGGACAAAGTTAACAGATTCAAATGCTGACCACTCGTTTGGCAAGTAGACAGTGTTGACAAGGGACTAAGCTCTGGAATATTAATATCACCATGAAAGAGAGGTCCCTGCGGGAGACGGCAAAGGTGTGGAGTGGTGACTCCAGAGACGTAAAAGTCCGCAGGGCTAATGGCCTGAGCGACATGCTCATGCTCGTGGGGCTTGGAGGAATGCCCATGAGAGCAGCGAGACAGTTCTTTACCTCAACAGACAGGTACACCGATAGAGTGGGAAATGCCCAGTGTGGGGCAGAGCTGGGCACACAGGACCCCTTCTGAATACACTGGTGGAAAAACAGCCTGGGGCAAGCCTGGGGCAGCCAGGCAGTAATTAAGTCACTAAGCATATACTGCAGAAGGAAACGGCAACCCATTCCAGTTATTCTTGCCTGGAAAATCCCAGGGACAAGATCGCCTGCACCCGCAGACAGGCGACACCAATTCCCCACCGCAGGGTCCTGCTGCCGGGCCCACTTGGGGGCCACGAGGGCCCTTCCAAACACTGTCCCCATGCTCTGCAGTTGCAGCCTGCTCCACACAGGTCACAGTGGTGCATGTTGAGCTCCCTGGCCAGCTGGACCGCAAGCCCCATGGTAACGGGCCCCGCACACAGAGGTTTTCCATCAGCGGCAGCATCATAATAGAGCACACCTATACTCTGCTAGGCAGCATGCTCGCAGCTCCACATGTCACCTCATGTAATCCTGTGATGGTCCCAGGCAGTGAGATTTTACAGAAAAGGAAACAGGTTTGAAGAAGCAAAGTCACTCATAGTCATGCGGCCGAAAGGAGGCAGATCCCACCTTCCAGAATCTTCCTCAGGCTGAGGCGAGAGAGGGTGCAGAGCCCAGGCTTACTGGGTCAATCTCAGGTGATGTGTCTGCTTCCAACCAGCCCTGCAGGTTCCAGGAAAGGCCACAGATGACCTTGATTTTACCCTCAGAATGTACATGGCCTTTAACCTGTGACCCGGCGGGCCCAACACAACTGCTCTCTCTACACCCTGAAGAGGCAAGTCCAAGAGTGAGCCAGCTGTGCCAAGCTGACTGGACAAGAAGGAAAAGCTGCTGATGGTGGCCCTCCAGGCAAGAGCACAGATTCAGCGACAAATGCTTCACCCAAAGCTGCTCCAGGATGCCTAAGGCTCCAGGGTTTTCTCAACCACCTTGAAAGACAAGCCTTCAGGAATTCCTTAATTACAGGCCTGCAGAGGTAGGCTGAGTGGGCCTTGGCTGTCTTGTTTGAATCCATCAGCCCCTGGCCCTCTCTGATGAGGCCACCTTCCCTCCACCTCCTCTCGTGACAGGAGCCAAAAAGAACTGGCCCTGCCCTAACAGAAGACTGGGTCTTTCTGTCTGCATTTCGGTCCCTTCAGCTGTACCTGTGCTTTTAGACTGGGGTAGCCATCACATGATAAATCCTGGCCATTTCTTCAAATTGTCCATTCAGACACAACAGGAAGAGAGGAGACAGGATCAGAGGATCTCGGAGGGACTGTCACAATTCCAGGATTTCTAATTCAACAGTCTGTCAATGCCGCCAGCTGGCTGGCTACCTCTTGGAGCACTCATGACTCAATGATTGAGGGTCTGGCAATATCCTCTTGCCACTCACAAACATGGGGTGAACACCTACTGTGTGCCAACGACTATGCCAGGGACCAGGGATGCAGTGGTGAACAAACTGTCATGGTCTCTGCTTTTGTGGGACTTGTGGTCAAGTAACAATTACAGATGGTGACAACCTCTGGAAGGAACACTCCAGGTGGTCAGGGCTACCTGGAGGAGGGGGAAGTCTGAGGTAAGAGCAGAAGGGACCTCCGGGGCAAGGCTCCTTTTTGAAGACTTGAGGTTGAGGCCCACAAAGCTTGAGCTCCATGCCATGCCACCCCCTCTGGGAAGGTCCCCTCTCTGTTACTCTTGCAGCAATGTCTGCTGTCACATGCAGAATGTGGCAACATGGGGGGTTTGCAGGCAGGGACTGTGCCTTTATTCTCCTCCCTCCACCGTGCCAGGCACACAGAGGGCACCTTCTAACATGTTCTCAGTGCCCGAATGGTGCTGGGAGCGGAGATTCCGTTCTGTGTAGACATGAGGGGACTGGGAAGTTGCTGAGCGCCCAGCGAGAGGCACAGGCAATGAAGTAAGTCGTGCTCCTTTATTCATTTTTCTCAATCCAGTGAGTCCTTGAGTTCTCCCCACGAAAGCTAAAAATCAGCTCTCAGAACACATCATCAGATACACACTCCACAGATGACAAATGAACAACTAATTCTGCCAAGCACAGACCAGCAGAAGAGCCTCGTGGTTCTTTCACAGTACTCACCCGGCTTTCAGTCAAATTCAGGTCCAGGTCAGTATCTAAGTCCCTGGTGTCCAGGCAGCTGAGAGGGCTCCGAGAGCCTCCCTGCTGTGCCACGCTTCCCGCTGACATTTGCGGAGTCCTCAGTAGACGCCACATCCATTCACACCAGCAGGGCCTCTTTCTCAGGCACCCTTCTTCAGTCCACCCCAATCTCTAGTCTGAACCTCCCTTTCCTAACAGGAGGTCACATCTGATCTTAAGGCTGTAAGATCTGGGACACGTGCTTGTAAACACCAAAGAGTGAGGGGTATGCTTGGAGAACTGTGAACTCTGTGCCTTGCTCTCAAACTGTCTCTGGGCGCCCTTGTTTCTACAGGAGCCCACCCCCAGTTCTCCAACCTGCCCTCCAGCTCACCCCCCATCTGGGCTCCCAACTCACCCTGCCCTGGAAAAGAAGGTCTTGGAGCTCCTCACCTCAGTGCTACCCTAAATCTGACCAGGCTCCCTATTCTCAAAACAGGATACTAACACAGTTCTCCTGGCAGGGCCCCGAGAGGGTCAGACGTGGAGGCTCTTTGCCGGCCTGCCACTGCTGCTGTTCATTTAACAGCCTCCTCGAGCCCGACCTGTGTGCTCCGGCTCAGCTCTGACCCACGCTGGTCCTGCCTCTGCCTTGGGCCTCATTGGCCCAACTCCTGGTTTTCAGTTTTCACCTCCAACATTTCCCAGACTCACCTCCTGTTCCTGGAATTTGTACTCAAGTAGGAGGGTGAAGAAGATGAGGCTCATCACCCTGCAAGGCACCTTTTGCTGTTTTGAGCATGTTATAGCACAAACCCCGAACTTGGACGTTAAAGATGACTGCATTATCATCCTTTAATCTAAATGTTCAAAATGACTAACTGAAAAATGGACGAAGGGGAAACTGAGAGATTCCAATTTTCAGACATAACTCAAAAGGCAGAACAAAATAACATAGAGAGGAAGGATGTGTTTAAACAAAGTTTGTTTCAGACCCGACCTCCTCAAGACTGGCTGGCCAGGCTCCCTGGTGATGCCTGGGGACTTGCCTGAGCACAGAACATGCCCCACTTGTGAGCCATCGCCCCGAAGACCCTGCACGGAGCGCTGTCTCCCCAGCACATGTGTACGTGCACACAGTCCTTCAGCCGAGCGCCTGGGAAGTGGCAGGAGCACTTGGCTGCCTGGTGACAGCTCACTGCCCTCTTACATTCCCCCTCACACTCCAGCAGGGGCTCTGTGAGCACCACCTCCTTGCTGTGAGAGTTGCTGCCAACCCAGACAGTGAGATCGGTTCCAGCTCTCTTAAGTAAGGGCTCGCTGAAGACCAAGCTGCTTCTGGCAGAAACTCCAGCAGTGAAAGGAACCCCCAGGGTAAAAGCCAAGTGATCTAGCGTAGAAAGTGTCAGATTGGAAAAGTGAGAACAAACAGCACTTCCTGCAGGGAGCACCCCCTTCCATGCTCACCCCCTCCTCCACTTGCTGCTTCCACAGTATCCCACCCCGCCTTGGCCCACCTTTCATGACTCCCATTTAAAAAAAACCAAAACACCCTGCCCCACAGGACACAGCTCCTTCACCCCGCCTCTGTGCCTGGATCTCTCAGCACTAAGCTCACTGCACCCACACCGCACATATGTATACAGACGTCTCAAGGGAGCTAAGCCACCACAGGCTGCTTGAGCTCTCAGGACTTCTCCAGTTCTAAAAGCATGCATTTCTGTTTGTTACTGAGTAGAAATAGAAAATGTTTTCTCCTACAGGGCTTACACAAATTACTTTTGCCATCACTGAAATCAAGTGAGAAAATAAAAATTAATCTTCAGAGGATAAGCTTGATGCAAAAAAATCCTGACTGTTCAATTCTTTCCAGGAAAACACGGAGTGATTCTTTACCAGGCGTTTACAACAATGGTGTTTAGACAGGGGAGGTACAAGCCTGCAGTGAGCAGAAGAAAGACCACCTGATTTGTCTGCCTTCACCTGTCTCCACAGGTGTGACATTCATGCGTGAAGAGGAGACACCAGTCTGTCTCGGGAGTCATTTGGCCCCTGGCCCCGCAGACGCTATCTCTAGTCCTCACACCCTCCCTGGGAAGCAGGGTTTAGCAACGCTGTGTTCCTCCCAGGACTCTGAGCAGGTCGTCTCTCTCCTCTGAGCCCTCAGGGTTACACAGCACTGAATGTTCCCAGACAGGGGGCGACTTCACGTCGAAGCAGAGGCATTTGAGTATGTGGCATCTCTGCAAACGAACATGTCTCTTCTCGCTCCCAGGAGGCCATAAGCAAAGGCAGGAAAGCATTCTAGAGAGCAGGGGCTTGAGTCCCCAGCTAGCACAGTCCCCACCCGGGCCTCAGTTTCCCCACCTGTAAAGTGGAGCTCACGATCGGTGAGGGCTGAGAGCACCCATGGAAAGCAGAGCAGGGGCCTGGCACAGAGCAAGTGTGCCACAAGTGCCAGCCCCATTGCTGAGTTTCATTTCTAAACTCATCCCGGGTCAGAACTCACAGAGAGTACACAGGCCAGAAGCACACAGCTTATGTGCACACGGGCTCGATGACTTAGCAGCGTGCACACACCCAGGTGTGGGGTACAGGGCGTGGCAAAAATCACTGCTCAGCGTGGCTGGAGCCCGGGCCAGAGCTCCTGGCGTCCAGCAGCTCCCAGCACATGATCAAGTCCTAGCTACACAAAAGTCACAGTTTCACTTTGAAGGCGATGCAGAAAAGTGAAGCTTCCCATGCAGGGCAGGAATCACGCAAGGTTGCTTTTCTGATGGGCTGCCCTGGCTGCAGGGAGGACAACAGGTGGAACATCTGGTGGTACAGGGAGCTGGTGCCCTAAGCCTTGGTCATGGCTCAACAGACACCAGGACTTGCTTGTAAGAATGAATCGATGGATCTGTTTGGAAACTGTGGAGAAATAAAGGCAAGCCACCAGCCTGCTGGGAGCCCTGTCCGAGCACTGTGGGGTGAGAAGCAGGCCGACACACCTACAGCACGGTTGCTGTGCAGGGCAGGCCCCCCAGATCTGTGTGTGTGGACAAGGGCAGGCAGAGGACACTTGGAAGGACCACTGCTGCCCAGAGGCAAGGAGACGGTCGCTTTCACCCCCTCCTGCTTCCACTCACAGCACCCGTGCTGCCGCCCAGGACTGCCCGCCATGAATGATGGCTCTGGGGTCCCAAGACTCTGCACTCATTTTGGGACCCCAGGACTCAGCCCAGGGCCTGGCTTGTGGTAGATGCCAAATCAGGCTTTACGGAATCCATGAACCTAGGGCAGCAGCATCTTCTAAATGTTACCTACAAAACTGGTCTTGAAGGATGGGAACAAGGCATCCCATGCCACATGGACAGCTTTCCAGACAAAACCCTGATGCCCGAGATGTTCTCATGTGCTGTGCCACATCCACAGTGCTCAAGTCTGAGTGGAACTGCAGAGAGAAACTTCTCTGAAGCAGACGGCAAATACTAGTCATCTGCCAACTCTTCGGGGCTAACGTTCTACAGCAAGACATTTATGTCCTCATCTCCAAAATACTCTCCTCCAAGGCCCCCTGTGCCCATGGAGAGTGCTCACAGCCAGCCCCAACCTGGCATCATCCGGGGAGGCCTGAGCTCTAACAGCAGCACTGCTGACAGCTGAACAGGGCTCCTCCTCAGGGATGTGAGCCAGAGGCAGGGCTGGACCCAAAAATCAGCAGTCTGCCCTCCCAGCCCGGCCCTCAGGAGCCCTCAGAGACTGAGGCAGCAGCTCTCGGGCCAGCTGGGCCCAAACCTGCTGTCGTGTTCCTAGAACCTGCCAGGGCAGAGGGCGGCCAGGCTTCCCTGGTGGCACTGGGAGAGCACCGTGGCCTGAAGCCTCGGCTCTCTCTGTGCCCCAGCCTCCAGAGCCAGAGGAGAGACCCAGAGGCAGGGCCTGGAAGTGGAGATGTGGGGGTGCGCCTGCAGGCTCCCCAAGTGAGAATGAGCTAGAGGACTTGCCAGAAGCTTCCCTCGCTGGGAAGCCTGTGGGCAGGATGCCCAGGCTCAAACTTCAGCCACTTGGCAGCTAAAGGAGTCACCCTCTTGGGGAACCACCTCCACTCGGCCTCAACCTATCTACTCCCACATGACTGCTCAGCCCCAAACAGGCCCTTGACTCCAAAGAGGTCAAGACCCTCAGCCTCTGCAGGACCATGCTCACTGCAATCTGCAGACGCTGTTCCAGCCTAGAATGCTGTCCCTCCCCTGGCTCCCAGCCCTACCCACCCCACATGCCTTCTCAGGTGAGGCCAGCAGCAGGGCCCTCTCTGAGCGCCACGACACCGAGGGCAAAGCTGTGGCTTGGCCTCACTGCCCTCATTCTCCATGGAGGCCACCGTCCTTTCTCCTCCAGCTCCTCCACTGTGGGGATCAGCTCCCCACCCTCCTCACTTCTGAGTGGTTTCCTACCATGTTGCAGTGTTGGGGATACAGAAAGCGTCCCCTCCAAATACCCACTACTTCTGGCTGATATGTCCCTGAGAGTAATCTCTCCTCCTCCCAAGAGCACCACTTGTTCATTCATCCATCTGGCGAACATCTGAGTGCTTAGTCAGCACCAACCCTGCCCATCTTCCATGCCACCTTTCCTGCTCCCTCCTCCAGGGGGAGCCCCACTGCCCCCCGTGTGCCCCAGCAAATTCTACAGCGCCTCCCACAATGATCTCTGTGTCTCCTGCCTCAGGGAGCTGACTTCTGAATGTCACAGCCACAGGCTCCTGCAGGGCAGGGCCACGTCTCTCCTGTGCAGGCACACAGCCAGCATGCAGAAGAAGCCAGCATGATCCAGTTACTCACTGGGTTACTCAGTCAGCACCTTGTGGTGGAAAGGGGTAAAATCAGGCACAAAAGACCTTCCACCTCGAGACTTCAATGCTTTCCTTAGATTTGTACAACAGCCCTGTGGAGTCACACCCGTGAGAAGTGGCCTTCCACGGGAAAGAGGGACCTTGCCGGCAGCCTGGAGACGTGCAGCTGGCAGCGTGCACTTGGGTCACTCAGCTGGCTCGGCTGAGCAATCACACCTCCACTCAGGGCACGACCGTCAAGTGGGCGGGGGGAGAGGCACTGCTGATCGGTACGAGCTGAAGAGCAACGTCGGGACAGCACCACCAGATGAGCAGAGCCTGTCTAGAAAATAAGCCCATTTGCCTTTGTATCGTTCGGACGAGAAATGTTCTTGTCTACTGACATCGCAGTTAAGAATTTAACAGGGAGCCTAGGGGTTTACATCAGTGACAGGGCTTGTTCAAGCCACTTGACTTAACATATGCTGACAATACAGACTGCAACTTTCACCTACATTTTATTTTTTTAACAAGCAGCTGAAGACTTCTGCAATAGAACTATATTTAGCTACTTAATTTTTCCACAGAAGTTTCTGACATCAACTGGGTAATTAAGACAGTGCTGACCAACACACCCCACAGGAACAGACTGTACATTGTGTATGTGTGTGTGTGATGACCCCCACCCCTCGCATCAGAGGGACAGAGCTCCCAGCCGGCACCTGTCTTGATGCCTGACGCCACTTTACATGTATTCATCCCCTAACTTGGGCTTCCGTGGTGGCTCAGGTGGTAAAGAATCCGCCTGCAATGCAGGAGACCAAGGTTCGATCCTGGGGTTGGGAAGATCCGCTGGAGAAGGGAACAGCTACCCACTTCAGTATTCTGGTCTGCAGAATTCCATGGACTGTATAGTCCGTGGGGTCACAAACAGTTGGACACGACTGAGTGACTTTCACTTTTACTTCCATTCCCCAACTCTCACAATGCTAGGATGTGGCTACTGTTATTATCCCCATTTTACAGACTGGGAACTTTGAGGATAAGAGAAAGCAGTCCCTTGCCTAAGCCACACACACACACGCACACAGAGCAGTGACAGGGCAGGGAGCCACACCCAGACCGCTCGGTTCCCAAGCCTGTGTCTGAGCCTGTCTCTGCAGGCCCACCCCTCACAAGGCCTCCCTGTGCTTCAGGCCGGCGCTGACTGAGGCCAGTGGCACTGTCACCACAGTCACCAAACAGGAGGTTTCCCCATGACTGTAAAGGATTCTGCCGATAGTTTCAGATCAGTGTTGAGATGGGTGAGGACCTGCATGTTTAAAGGCCGGCTTCACAGGAGCTCACAGGGAGGCTCTGCAGTCAGCTCCGGGTCCCCGAGGGCTTCCACGGGCTCCAGGGCCCAGCAAGCGGGGCCCCAGCTGTGCGTGAACCCAGACCTGCCTATGGGCCACGCAGGTCCTGAATCCCAGTCACATCCCCGAGGCACCTCCACCTGCGGCTCAGAACTCCCTGTTCTGATCCAGCTTCACTACCAACCCACCTGCAGGCCGTAAGAGTGCACCTGACCACGCCAAGGGCCCGCTGTTGCTGAGCGGCTGGCATGTGCCCACAACTCTCTGGCTGCCTTTGCTGAGGTGCTTCCCAGATCACACGTGCCACTCTGGCTACCAAGACTGAGCTCCAGCCCGGATCCCCACCAGGAAGGCTACCAAGGAACAGGGACTCAGGTGGTCACACTTTTCACGTGAACTCACGGGGCCCAGCACACAGTAGGTGCTCAATAAACACTGACTTCTAATAGAATGACGTAGTCAGCTAAAAGGCAATGATGACCTTTCCCCCAGTACACAGAGAAGAAAAGTGCTGAGAGAAGTTTGAGCTGGGCTCCTGTGATCACTTGTCTGTGTTAGACTGTAATATTGATAGTGTTTGATGTCAGACACAATCACACACCTAATTAATCTAAGTTCCCAGAACTTCTCTGTGCTTGTCTCCAACAGACCGCAGGCTCCACCATGGGGCTCTGCAACACTTGGGCCTTTTGTCTCAGGAAAGCACCGCAGGGCTCTGATGTTGCCATTCTTGTTTCCTGGTGGCAGCCTCCCTTGAAGACCAGTACCATCATCCCTCTTAGAGTTGAAAACCCTGAAGCTCAGATCAGTCAAGCAACTTGCCCAAAGTCACACAGATGGCTAGTAATGGCACAGCTGAGATCAGAACCCAGAGCTTTCCAATTACAAAGCCAGTGCTCTTTCCACTAAGCCCACAGCTGCTGGGATGGTTCCAGGGGTTTTGACACATGTTTAGTTGCGAAGTCGTGTCCAAATCTTTTGTGACCCCGTGGACTGTAACCCACACAGGCTCCTCTCTCCATGGAATTTCCCAGGCAAGAATACTGGAGTAAGTGGCCATTTCCTTTCCCAGGGTATGTTCCCCACATCTCCTGCATTGGAAGGTGGATTCTTTACCACTGAGCTACCTGGGAAGCCTAAGTAGCCACATAAACAAGATTTCATGGACTCCGTTTTATCCAGCAGGTAACAAGTAAGTGCCCAGTGGCTCAGCGGTAAAGAATCTGCCTGCCAATGCAGCAGATGTGGGGAAGATCCCTGGGTCAGGAAGATCCCCTGGAGAAGGAAATGGCAACTCACTCCAATACTGTTGCCTGGGAAATCCCATGGATACAGGAGCCTGGTGAGCCATGGGGTTGCAAAGAGTTGGACATGACTGAGCAACTAAACAACACAAAGAAATAAGTGGGACTCAGGAAGAAGGACCTCCATTAAAAAACAAACAAAAAACCCAAGCCACAACATAATCTGATTAGGAAAGGAATTCGTTGCAGGCACAGACAAGAAGATGCTCCAAGAAGTTCAAGGGCAGTTTGTTCAGCCTCCTGGCCACTTGTCTGCATTGCCCAACATGATGTCACATCACCACCATCCATTTTTCTACAAAGCTCAAGAGTAATGCCGCTTCTGAGACCAAGCCTGGTAATCAGTGTATGTAATTTCAAGTCACAGCAGGGTTAGCATGGAAAGGAAGCGATGAGG